CAGTGCACTCACAACCCCTTCCAACCCCAGAGACGCCTGGAAGACTTTGAGATCAGGAAGGTGTCCAGGAGGCTTTCGTGCTGGAGGATGCGTCGGGGGGTTTCAGAAGATCAGGGCTACGCGGCGAGCAAGAGCACTTCGGAGGGCCGTTTTCAGAGATCCATGCACGGCCTCACAAGTCTAGCATCTGGCTTCTGTTTGAGAATATGACAACCAGTGATGATGGAGCGCATGATGCGAAAGGCAGATTGTACATGCTGCATGGCAAAAAATATCAGTATCTTCTAGCCTGTGGGTCCAGATGCAGGACGAATCGGGCGATCTCTTCGCCTTCCTTTCCTTGAATGACAGCTGAGCCTCAAATGATTAAAGATTCAGTGCTTGAGGTTCAGAAGACTGACACGGGTGTGTCGGTTGGTTTCTCCTTTTCGTTCCCGAACTCCAACCGCAGCGCATGTACGACAAGTCTCCTGCGACTGTGCTTCTTTGCCAAAGAGCAAATCCTCAATGGCCTTGTTCCCACACCTCCACCCAAGCGTAACCTCACAAAATCCCGCGGCGTGCATCCTAAAGGCTTCATTTCTTCTGTTCTTGTCTTCCGCGAAGGACAAACCAGCCCTCATCACCACCTTGAATGAATTCAACACCATCCTGCCCTGAACCGAAGCACAGACATCTGAATGATTTGAGTATTCCTCCAGACTGGTTGTTAGCTATGCCACAAAATTTGCCAAGCCCTCACTGTTCTGATTGGAGGCCACTAGTCACTAGTATTTACTAGCTGAGTCTCAAAGGAAATCTGCGCTCCGCAGACCCGAAGCCGGTCTCAACATCTGCCGATGGCCATGGAGTTGATCCTGGTCGGCCTCAATAGTGTAAACAGTCCAAACAGTCTCTGCATCGCGGGCAGGGTTACCATGAACCCTGGCCTGAACCCTGGATCCCCATTCACCCTAAGCGCCAAATCCCCATAAACCCCAACTCCCCACAACTTCCTGTATATGTAAGTTAAACCTAAACCAGAAGGCAGCAATTTGTGAGGCCGACGTGCTTCGGGGTTGACGACAGCCTCCAGAGCCGTCAGCCGCCAGGCGAAACAGTTTTGATGGCACGATTCTTCTTTGGGGTAGGGTTTTCCAGGAATTGTTGTTGCGGCGGTTCAGACTAAGTCTTCACTTGAACTTGGTCTGCATACCTGAACTTGGTCTTGAGACATGGCAGCATTTTCACTCCTTGAATTTCGGAAGGCCACATTGACATGGTATGCAACAGCCCTAGACTTAACCACAATCCCGACAAAGCCAAGACCTTCAGGCATCACAACACCTCAAAGCCCCAAAGCTCGTGAACCTTCCACCCCCAACCATGTGACTTGCAGGCAAACCCTGCAGCCCCTGCGCCCCGAAACCCGAAACATAACCCCAAAACCGAGACCCTACCTCTGCGACCTCCGCCCAAAACAAAATGCAGTAGACCGGCGCTGAGGCCGGGCCAAAGAGCTGCTTCCCTGGCGCTCAGCCTTGCGCCTTCGATCTGCGCTGCCCAGGTCAGCCACTGGCAAACTGGACGGCCAGGAATCCGGGACGCAAAAAGCGGGCAAATTGAGGGCTCTACAAATGGTAGACTATCCTTTGATTGAAGAGCATTCCTCTTTCAGACTTTAGAGGGGTCTTTTACAAGGACCACTTTGGAGTTTCTGGGAAACACGAGAAAGCTCAACCAACAGCTGGGCCAAGGGCACCGCTCAGCTCGACATAACACATTCAGAGTCCCATTCTGTTGAAGGTGTCTCCTTGTGCGTGTGCGATTTTTCGTTGTATCTTGATCCGTATTAAAGGCCCACTTGTTTCTGGGCCATCGTTGCATGAGCGGGTCTACGTTCCTCCTCCATTTCCTTCGGAGCAGGCATTGCAGCAGGTGGTTGTGGCGGAGAAGCTTGCGCAAGAGGTGTTTTGATCTGCAAGAATCGGATGGCTGGTACCGCTGCTTCCTAGCATGTGGCATCTGACATTTCGCCTTTGCCATGTATGACCATGACGGCTTGATGTTGCCTGAATTCCCTTCTGAAAGTCCTAGTGGTTTAGGGTCTGAGACAATTTCTTCACTGTCATCTTACAGCTTCCCAGATTAAGGCAAAAGCCACGGCACCACATCTCCGACGCCGGCTGAAGGATGCTTCGCTGGTACGGAGTTCCAAGAGTAGAGATCCGCAAACCCGGGAGCCCTAAATCCTAAGACTCCAGCCTAACAATCCCTTCACTCCCTTACCCTTAAGCCTTCAACAACTAAACTAACTAAACCCCCTAAACTCTTCCCCCCATGACCTCTTCCCATTGACGAAATCGAACTCTGTTCAGCTTTTTTGTGGGATACCAAAAGGATCCTTAATCAAGGGTTCCATCGGCTCTCGTTCTAGACCGCCAAAAATTGGGGAAATTCTGAGTAAGTTAGACTAAGAAGCCCCCGACATTATTTTCAATTCTTCCTTGGCGCCGTGTGAACCGTTTTGGGAAGTTCGGAGACTGCTGGCTTACGGGCTTTTCGATGACCCCAACGCGTTCAATCCCCCGTAAACCTTAAGCTCCTAAGCCCCCAATCACGTCCTCGAAGCCCGAAACCCAAGTGTCAGGTTTGCATGTCAACAGGCGTGAAAGAAGGTGTTCAACACTGTCGGCAAAAGCACGGAAATCCTTAACCGTGGCAGAATTCTCTCCACCAGACCCCACATGTTGTATTGATAGTTCTGCAGACTGGAGTCCCCGAAAGGTCCCTGACCAAAGGACGCCCATATCCGCGAAGCCAGGATACCTGCCGCAAGCACGTGGCCTGTGCGTTGGCGCTGCTCTTGACAGCTTGTGCTGGGGATGCACTCGTGGCTCGGCCGGGGCTGAAGATAAGTCGGGGTTCGGACTTTGACAGGGAGTCTGAATCTAAAGTTCTCAAAACCTCAAGTAAGGAGCATTGTCTGCAATTCTGTGCTGCACAGTTATGTTCTCTGGGAGGTCGAATCTCTGCTGCGGCTGGCGAGCAGAAACCGACTCTACGGCTCGACACCCTCCCCGCTGCTCGGTTCGACTAGCTGCAACTTCCTTAATAAACCCCGATGCGCTAAACTGAATGAACTGAAGGCAAACCCTGAAGCTTCAACCCGATAAGCCGTAAATGAAAAACCTCGAATGAATCCTAAGTTGCGAAAACCTTCTGCGGCCTTCTCAGCTCTTTGCGGCCAAGGCCCAGTGCCTTCGGTTTGCTCAGCGCTGCCTATTCCTGGCTGGCCATGGCGCAACTTGAGCACTGGGGCCTGAAGCCACAGGCTGTTAAGATCTCAAATCCATCAATCAACGCAATATACAAAGCAAGTCAATGTCAAAGGACCAAAAGCTCACCAGTGTCTTTTCTCGCTGCACAGGCCTACGTGGATTCCCTGCCCATCTCCAGGCCGGGGAAGACAAGCAGCTGCGCACGTATCTGGGGATTCTGAGTGTAGGAGTTTAGGGTTTAGGTTGCGCATAGGGCCTTAGGGTTTGGGGTTTATGGTTCAGGGGTTTGGCTTCAAAACCCCTTCCAGCCAACTGACTTGCAGTCCAAGACCCGAGACATTTGCAACGCAAGGGGCTAATTGAGCAAGAGCCGGAAAGTTCCAACGGCATGTCCACGAAACACAACCAGAGCAACGAGGAACCGGAGGGGATCATAGGACCTCGGAACATGCTAAGGAGATTCAATGTTGCAGCTGATCCCGAAGCTCTGGAAGCGCTTGCCACAACTCCAACAAACCAAGAAACGAAATTGTGGCATGTCAAATGTGTGTTGTCGAGCCTCCCCCAGGCCAATTTTGCGAGGGCACAAGGCCCGAAGAGTCACATACAGCCGAGACACACGAGAAACAATTATGGTGTTTAAGATACGTAATGCAGGACTTCTTCTATCAACTGTGACATCTGGAGGATGGGTTCGCTTTTCTTGCTCCACCTGGCTCCCGCCCGGCGCATGAGAGGACTGCCGCGCGGCGCATATCCTTAGAGCAAAGGTGGGAAGCTCTGGTTTTCCCCGAAGGCGTAAGGCTTCGCGTGCATCTACAGGGGCTTGGACTTTCAACGAGCATGAGCTTGATGATCTATAATTGTTAGGATGCATTGGACCTGGACGACTATGGGGATCAGATTCCATGTCATCCTTGTTCACGGCGCTGTGTGCCGGTACGTCGTGTGCTTGTGATTTGATTCAATTTTTTGTGACAAGAGATCAGAATGCCCCAACGACGTGTGCAATGGAGACTATTTGGAGTCTCCTGAGCCTTCACCGGGCGTCGCCAAAGTGGCATTTGGAACTGGAACCCCATTTATACAAGGTCAGCCCCTCGTCCTCAAAAAATCAAAGCAGCAGCACTCTTCAGGCTCACCGTTCTCGGTGCCATTGTCGCGGCAGGGCGACGGCGGCTGTTCGCTTGGCCGCTGGTGCGCCGAAGTCTACCTTGAAGGGATGCGCTGGAGTTTTCCGAGTTTCATGCACGGAAGACTTGAAGATCTACTGGCAGGTGTTTTGGCTGGGCTGCGGCGCCCAGCTCGACTTCGAGGAGAGGGTACAACAACTGTCGAACCGCCTGCTGCACCTGCTGCCAACTTAACGGTCACATCACAAATCTCCTGCTGGAGTCCTTCCCTGCAAGCCGGAGAAGACGTGTACAGGCGGAGCGCAGCTTGCGCCATGGCTGCGTGGCTGCCTGCACAAGGACGGAGTTGCAATTTTGACCCGTGTGGGTGGTGCCCTATTCCGGTCTGAAGCAGCAGGCGATCCAACATGCTTTGTATTTCTTAGTTCCCCAATACCCAACCTTTAAACTTTTTGGGTTCTTATAATTTTGTAGTAATCGGAAAGTTTAACATTTCATGTCCCTGGCATTTTGGGAATTAATATTTTGTATAATCGTTTAAGCCCGGACCTTTCTGAACCTACTAGCGGCGAACTGCGAGATCCGGTGCAGGCTGGCCTCGGGCCTCATGGATTCCCTAGACGAGGTCGGCGGAGCCCGTTCTCATAGCGCTCTCCTGGGTCGTGGGATGCCTCGCGGGGTTCGCTTCGAGATTTGCACCCTGCGAGCCGCCAAAGGCTGTCAAGCAGCTGTGCTGGCGGATGTGGTCAGCACTCTTTCCGAAAGGCGGGAGATGAATGCCTCCAGAATTGCGTCGAATGCTACAGCTGCCGGTCTTCATCGTTTCAGGATGCAAGAGTGCCAAGACAGTTTGGTGTCGCTGTGTGGTCTTGAGAGGATGTTGGGGCTGAAAAGGTGTAATGAGGGTTTGAAGATTCGCGGCAGAACCCTAAAACCGTTTTCAAGGGTCCTCAGAACAAGGTCCTGACCGTTCAGCCTGTATATCGGGGTTTGACCAGCACGCGGCTTCGGTCGAAGGAGCTCCCATTAAACCAGTTTTGTTCAGAATGCGGAGAGCTCAGCTCGACTTGGATTGACATGCAGTTCTAGAGATACGGGCCTGAATATTCATTAAAGCCTCCTTGAACAGGTTCACCCTTACGCCCTTTTTGGCGGTCTCTCATTGTTTAAAGTTGTGGAGTGGATACAGGGTACAAGTACGTACCCCTATTCTACAGGGAAGCAAACCTCGAAAGGCTTTCGGGTGCGCCGACGCTTCTGGCCGCGAGTGGCGCGAGAGACCCGGGACACCGGGAGCCAATGGGAACAGCAGCTCGATGAGAATTGTTCCGCAAAGGGGCTTGCTTATCATTTAATACATGGCCGAATTGGTTCACAGACCAAAGCCCGAATTACTCTAGTCACTTCGACCCAATAGTAGTTTCAGGGCTTCAGGGCCCTTCAGGGAAAGTTGTGCTGTGGGCTTCAGGGCTTCGAAGCCCATCAGGATTGTTCTAATGGTGCCCCGAGCACGCTTATTCAGGTTCAATAATGATGTCATAGAACCCGGTATCTAAAGAATTGCAGGAATTGGCCAGGCTAGGTTACGGACAGGCTGTTGTGATTTAGGGTTATGTTCAGGGCCATTGTCATGCCGGGGACACTGGGCAACTCACGTGGCCGTGTAACGTAGTCCTGTCGTATAGTCAGTTATGTCCCTATTCCTGAAAAGTGTCTCTCTTCCTCTGAGAGTGAGAGCTGCCCGACATTTTGAAAAAAATCTGCCATGCGAGCGTGCTTGGGCCGACAGACCGGTTGCGCATCGAAACCGTGAACGGTTGTTGCTGAGAGCAAGCCGCTGGGTAGATTCCACGTCAAGGTGGGCATCGCGTTTACACATGGCGTGCGCTCTATCCTAAAGCACAGGTATCGTTACAGGGACTTTGCGCACGCTTCTATGTGAACGCGTTGCTGAAATTATGCAAAAAGTGAATGTGCTTCTTGAAAAGAGCAACGAAAGCAAAAGGCAAAGACAACTAAAACACTACAAAAGCACTCCAACGACAGATGAAAAGTGCGTTTCTTAAGCTTAGTGTGTATCGGCTGCCTGCGTGCTGTGCTCGCGTGACTCGCCGAGTGCATCTTGCAGGAGTGGTGGAAAAGTTCAAGCGTCGACGGGTGCATAACACTCGTCCGGAGTGCCGACAAGCGTGTTGCGTCTTGCGCGCGTACCTGTAAAACAGCATTGACACCTGGTTAGCTTGTCCCGACAGGAGCCTACCACAACGGGCGCACTCGCTTCGCATCGACATATCCACGGGTGAGCTTAGCTTGGCCTCCGCCTTAAGACTCCGAAACAAACGTGTAGCAGTAATTTGAGGTTCGAGTTTGGCCAATACCAATAGTTGAGATAGTAGACAAGGCCAGCCCTCATCGAAGTTCGAAGTGTAGTTGCGAGGTATCCGCAGGAGGAGCAGCAGATCCTCGAATACGCCTCTTGCCGCAAAATCTCGAGGACATTTATCAGAACAAGCTTGAGCCTCACTCAGGATCTTTGGGTCGTCTCGCAACTCTCGGCTGTGGAGGATCCGGGAAAGCAGGACCCAGGAAGTTTGATGCGAAGCGGGTGAAGTGGGAGTTCCGGCGCATTGCGGATCAGGGCTAGATGATTCTCATTCTTACAAGTGTGAGCTGCAACAACATGTCAGGGACCAGAGTCGTATCGGGGTTTCAGGACAGAAGCACTTGGCCGCCTGAGAAGCAAGCCTGGCAGCCTGCACTTCATCTTAGTTTCCGGGTCACGGCTGATGGCCGCCCAGCCTTCAAGAGCTATCTTGCGAATGCGTTAGAGCTCACGGACCCTGGGCCGAACATGCTCAGCACAGCGACTCCCAGGCCCATGGAAGGATGGAGAAAGCAGATCCTTTTACGGTTTGCTAGCATGCACCCATTGGCTTTTAACATAGGGCACCACCGGAGGCGCGGATCGTTGTAAAAACACTCCGAATTCGAGACAGCGCTGACATCTAAGGGACTCGGCTTCGACCAGAGGTGTCGACGTGGTCTTCTCCAAGTCTGCCTGCGACACTCATCTGCAAGCTCCAGCCATTATCTGAATCACTGGTAGGGTTTATGCTTTGATTTTTTTGGTAGGTACGGGTATGTCTAACAGTTCACCTTAGTTGTGATTAGCAAAGGCCACGCTGTTGATGCTTCACAAAGCCCCACAGCTCGATTGAAAATTTCTGGATGGATGTGATAGGGCAGGTCCAAAATGTTCGGGCCTTAGGAGTTCGAACGGTTGGGGGGAATATTGTGGTGCAATATGAAAAGAACTAGACGGAATTCGTACGCATTGTTCAGACCTCGAAATTGCTTTCGAAGGAACTGAGGGTTAACCGAAGCGGGTGCCATGGATGAAGAGCCCACTAAGCCGTCGCTGCTAAATTTTCTGACTCGGAGAGGCTCTGGATCTGAAAGACCTACTCTAGCCTTGGTCCAAACCTACAGCGCCGTAATGCCCTCAAAGCCGACTCCTACGCCCTAAACTCCTAGGCCCTTGGCTTAGGACTGGGCTTTGGAGACGTTTGGAACCGGCTCAGAAGCTTCTGCAGCCGCTACAGAGCCGGAATTGCCGCGGCTCGGAAGGGGACGAGAGCTTTCACGGTGTGCAGGTTTCGGGGGTATTCTGGAGCCCTTACTGTTGACGGTCAGGTGCTTCGTTTCGAGACCCCGCAAAGGGCCCTGGTGTAGAGAGCTACGCCTCTGGCTGTCTACAGGTTAACGAGTTCAAACCCCAACCCTTCAAGTGATTCTTAAACTAATCAATAAACCCCAAGCCAAAAACATGGGCGCCAAATCGAGAACCTTGGGCCGGAAACCCTATCCCTGATGAGCTTACCCTTGCTGTGAAGCCCGTAAGCACTAAGCAGTTGTCCCCCTCCCCTATAAGGGCCATACTGCGGATCCGAATACAAATCCTTCAATTAGGCGGGGTTTCCTGAATCAGGGGTCTACACCAATCAATTCAACCCCCGGATCCCTACGGAATTTTCACTGAGGCCGTTCGACCGGCGCGTCGTGGACTTGGTTCGGTGACTCGGATCAACGCCGCGGCATCCAATACTTTGACAGCTTAGTCCGTCAGCCCTATACACTTTAATCCCTAGACCCGAATCCTTACCCCCAAAGCTCGAGGACTCGGACTCATTCGGACTCTTGGAAAGGTTGCGTTGTTGGAGCCGTCCCGGGTTGTGCTGGAAAGCGGGAATCTGGTGAATCAGTCGATCACTGGCTGATGCAGAATGTGGAAACTCCAACAATGGCTGCCCCGGCCGATAAGCTTCGTGCGACACTTCGAGAGTTAAACCTCAGTCCGGGCGGTCAGGGGTTTGGGGTTAAGGGGTTTAGAGCTCGAGTGGCTCAGGATTTGGGGGGTTGAAACGTAGCCACAGCGCAAACCCATCACTCTCCATCGAGGCAAGTCATGCCCTCGGCCGGCGATCTCGAGTCACCGCTCAAAGGCCTGGACAGCCTCCGCGCAAGCCGGCGGCAGTCACGACTTGCGCTCAGGGAAGTGCTGGCATGGGCCGAATCTCCGTACCTGTAAACCTTGAAGCTTTAATGATCCTTTCAACCCTATACAACTCTAACCACTCTCTAACCTGAACCCTATCCTCAACTTCGAGCACTGCCTGGGGGGTGCAGAAAAAGGGGAGCAGGATCCTGATTCCCTCAAGAAATGAACTTTCGTATGAGGCCTGCAGGCCCAAACCAACCCCCACGAGGCTGGCTGGCTCGCCGGCTCCTTGCAGAGCCTGGGCCGGGCCGTGAGCAGCGAGGCGGTCGCACAGCTGAAGATTGAAGAGCTCTGTCTAAGGGTTGTGTAAGGGCCAGTGTAAGGGGGTGCGGGGTTGCAGCGCATCGTAACGGAGCTATGGAGGTGCTCAGGGATTGCATTGGTTGGTCCAGGCTTTCTTGGGCTTTTGAACAGGGTCATAATTCTCCCATAACCCAACCTTCGAACTTCTCCGGGGTTCTATAAGTTTGCATTGGTTCCGTTCCCTCGGGTTATGGATGTAACAGAAATACATAGATATATATATATGTATGCATATGTGTGTGTATATATATATATTTACATACATCCATGCATGCATGCATGCATACATACACACATATTGTACAGATGTCTTAAACGGAAAGTTTGCAGGGCTGGTCCAAACTCGAGGCTTTTGGAACGGGACCATCTCGGGCCTTACACAAAGTCCAACTGCACCGATCGAGGTCCGACGTGCAACGAACCTCAAGAGCCTGGTTCGCATAGTGAAGGCCCGCCGCAGCCTTCTGATGCTTTGGAGCTGTTGGAGCTATTCGTCCCCACATGTGGTAGAGAACATCTTGCCCACAGACAGCTGTTTGGGCATAGCCAATGGCTGGGCTTTGATACCCTTCCTGAAGGCTGCGCCCGCTGCACCGAAAGTTGCGCCAGCTGGGGCAGCTGAGCTGCTCGGGAAGCATTAATCTAATCGCTAATTGTAGCCGTCGTAGCCCTATCGGAGCCGTGACTCTTCATCCTTTCTAGCAGGCTTTGGCAATTTGGGGTATGATTGCTACCGTCCAACAGCTCCGTCACCTGAGAACACTACAGTCGCATTGGATGTGCTTCATCTAGTCTCGTCTCGCGCACCCCCTCTGGACGGTGCTACATGTTACCGGGCTTGTCATGCCACCGGGTGTCCTTAGTCCCTACTTTAACATCGCCGCCTCGACACGTGCATTCAGGGCGAACATCAGTACACAAAAAGAAAGGCACGCAGGCAGGCCGGCCGGCCGGCAGGCAGGCATGTATGCTTGGATGGATGGATGCATGCACGTGTATGTACGTGTATGTATGTAGATATATATATATATATACACACACACACGCACATACACACGCGTGCACACCGATCGATCGAGCGATCGATCGCGAGATCGAGAGATAGAGATATAGAAATGATATTGATGTTGATCTTGGTGTAGAGATATATACACATACATATTATGCATACACACATATCTCGAGAGAGGGGGTTATGAGGAGACATTTTGCAAAGTGTCGTAGCTCTATGTACTACGTTTGCTCTTCCGATGCATTGCGCAGAGGTATGCGATTTGGTTCACACCGGGGCAGTTTCAGCCAATGCGCCTTGGACCCACGAGTTCGAAGCCATGTGCCAAACATCCTTGCAACGGACCCCATTCCCCGTAGCAACCTCCTCCTCCTCAGGTTTTTGAGGGCATAACACTTGCACTCCACCCTTTGTTGTACATGGCAGACCGCACGCAGTTCAACCCCGATCCCACCCCGTCGTTCCCGGACAGGGTCCGCAAGAACTGTATCCCCTCAATGGCAAGGGCAAGAGAACTCCCAACCCGAAACGCATGCCAACGACCCTCAGGTCTACCCCTGTTGCACCAAAAGCTCCAGTAAAGGAGTCCGTGGCTCACCCGTGCCGAGTCGCCAGCAGATGTGCCGGCGATGCGCCTAGCAGTCGAGGTCGAGCCCAAAGATGTTCGAAGCTTGGGCTCACAGGGCTTAGGGTTATGGATATCTGGGAGCATAGACAAAGCAAAGGATGGGGAGTAGTTGCGAATCGTGTTTGTTCCTCACGATTACACGAACCTCGCTATTTCTGCCCATTTTACCTTTCCGGAGCCCCCGGCTGGAAATCGCCTCAACAGCCTTTGCGGCAGGCTTTGCTGGAACGACACCCATCACTGCGAGCAGCCGCTTGGACCAGTTCGAGAGGTAGCTGAGGCCTGGTTAGCAGAAGTGATGAAAGGGAGCTTTGCTGTCGCCTGTCAGTACACAGGCGTTCTCTCGTCATCTGCCGTTTGGGGGCTTCCAAGGAAGCCTTAAACACCTGAACCCCATGATACAGCGAAGGTCAACATCGACTCCATGGCCTTGCGCGGCTTCGTGCCCTTTGGCAAAGGTAGAGGTGTGCACAACCCTGTTGCCTCGTGCAGAAGTTTGCTTCAGCTACAAAGCTCGGATGGCAACCCCCCCATCCTTATTGAATCTCCTATCTACGACCTGCCGGGTCCTTGTCTGAACCATGCTCTCAAAGATATGATATATTGAATATAAAACGCAAGACAATTAAGGTAAGGTGCAACTGCCTTCCCCCAGGCTTAGCTGCGCCTCCCTCTTCGCCGCGATCTTGGGACCAAAGACACCCGCAAGGCATGTCGGGGAGGGAAACTTCTGTTTTTGACCTGACTTAGCCGAGCCTCGCTCGAGGCAGCGGCGACTTGAATGCTTGATTCAGCCCATTCAGCCCAGCAAAGTTTCTGGCCGAGTGTGTTCGAAAACATAAATTTCAGGCCTATCACAGAGGTTGATGGATTGTCGATGTTGCCATACCTTGCTGCCTGAACTCCGAACTCTTCCGCAAGGGCCAGGGAAGGCAAAAGGGCGCTTTTGCGATTCCAATCTTCACTGCCCAAGTTTCAGGACATGAGAGGGGACCTAGGTTCCTGGCTCGCGCGGCTTTTTTACTCCATTCAAGACTCATTAGAAGGGACCCTTCTTTCAGAACCCCAAGACTTCCCTTTGCAGCCTCCGATCGGCCATCGGTGCGTTGCTTCTCCGCTGTTGGCCGCGGGTGGCAGTCGATGTGCCCGAGGCCCAGAAAGGGGTTTCGATCAGATTCGTAAAGCGGGGAGCCTCAACATTTAGCAAGACCGTTTGGTTGAAGCCCTAGCTCAGGCAACCCCCCCTCCCCCGGCGTTTTTACCCACTCTGCTCAGACAGAAAAACCATTGATCTGCGATCTGTGCACTCTGACCTCGGTGCCAGAAAAAGCAGTGTCAAGCCTGCTCGTTCGTAGGATTTGGGCCTGGGCTTGTGCAGAGCACCCAGAATCAGCGAAACTATCAGATCTTAAACTGATGACTTGCAAGGAGTGGCCAAGCTTGACCTCGAGTGCCTGTTTACCGAGGCCCCATGTTGAATCCAGCAAGGACAAAGCGGTCCCCTTCGCGGTCCTGGAGTTCACAGGCCACCCCCGATCGGGTCGAAGGGTTGCATACGAATCCTTCCAGTTCCAGCTGCGGGTCGAAAATGTCGGTGCTCAATCGACAAAGGCATCGAATTTTGGACCAAGCTGGCAAGGTCCAAACTCGCCCCCAAGTTGAGAACGAATTCCAAAGAAAGCGTAGCCTGATGTCTTAAACCTAAGCCCGAAGGATTCACTAAACGTATTTTTCCCCAATATGTTTTGTGAAACCCAAGCCTGAAGGAGTCTTGCATAGTCATACCCGCAAGCTCCGACATTCCTTCCCGACGCCCTGTCTTCCAGGGCAAAGTGAACTGGAGAGGCACCTGCAGAGCCGAGGCCTGCAAATCTCTCAGCGTAGCAGGCGTAGTGTAGCTCGTGGAAGGCCCGAGCTTTTCTGCTCCGAAGTTTTCATTGGCGGAATCAGACGTGCTTCAGTAGCTTGCGAGTCCCTTCATGAAGCCTGCTTGCAGTACAGTACCCTTGTCTTTGGGTTGGAGCATGGGCAAGGTGTCAATTCATGGAAGGACTCCACACTCCGCACGTTGGAGCTTGGCCTGCTAGCAGCTAGCACCGGGCAACAGAATGCAGCCCACTTTGCACAGCACAGGCAACAGTTAACTCCTCCAATGGCTAGCACCGGCCTAAGCCAACCTCGCGCCAAACGCACGGTGCTGAGGCTGGCATTTGACCAAGCCACCGCTCCCTGGCTCAAATTTCAGACCAGAGTTCAGGCGTTCGGCTCAGGAGCACAGGGTTCTCGGCTTGGACTGGAGCAAGGAGCTCGAAGATGTTTACAGCAGACTCAGATTTGCGGAGGTTCGAAGTGACGCTTCTCCAGCTGAATGTCGCGCTCGAAGGGGTATGGGACTGCCAAGGCGGCAGCGCAGAACTTTCCACCTGGACCCAATGTAGTCCTTGGGGATCTCCGACCTTTGGGTCAGGTACCAGTTTCGCCAAGTCGTGGCCGAAAACGAGTGTCGATGTCCCGGTCGGCTTTGTTACCAACCAGAAAGAGTCCGAAGCTCCGTGCTCTGCCCCCGATCAGGTGGACACATCTCCATCGTCCGGGTAGATGGAGGAGATCTGGATCTCTGACTGCAGTCGGACGAGCCCTACCCTGGAAAATCTTATAGGGTCGATCGTAGCACTTCGACAGCACACGCCAAAGCTGCAACACTTTCCATGCGCATGTACCGTGAGAATGCCGGAAGGTCACAGAAGACAAGTCGTCTCATTGTCAGTTTGGTGAGCTTGGGAGCATATTTGCAAATTGGTATTCAGAGTACGCTAGCCGCCGCTAGCTTAGAGAGAATGAGGGTGTTCTTGGCTCTCACCCAATCCGACCAAGCCCCAAGCCCTAAGCGTCCAGGTCTATGTGGATTCGCAGCGCTGGCAGGCCACGCCTTGTCGTGTGTTCCCTTTCGCAGCCTCTCAGTGCTGTGGAAGCCAGCATGTTCGTGTCACATGAAGAGGGAGTCATCCACAGATCCGATTACCTTACACTGGCTCCTCCAATCCCGAGTCCCAACTCACGACTCACGTCACTTGGTTCGGAATTTGTCACCGGTAGCAGCCTGTTCAGTTCTTTTCTTGCTCTTTTTCTTCGTCATGCTATCCTGCCAGAAGTTCCAAAGAGCCAGGCCCATCGTTATGACTACTTTTAATTGTTTACTGTAGTTATCACTAGCCTAGCCGCTACACTACCCTGCCCAAAACCCCTGCAACCCTAATCCCTGACCCCCCCAAAAGCCTAAGCCCAAAAGCCCCTCGACCCTACAGGGCTAAACACGGACGGGAACCCCAAACCCATAACTAAAGCGTGGGTTTGTGTGTTTGTTCGAGGCCGCCGTGCTCCGTGCGCCCGAGGATCCCCGAAGTCCAGCACCACCGGTTATGCGACTAAACTGCAGACCGTGCTGTTGGATGCTCTTAGTGTTGGTGCTGCTGACGATCATTGATTGATAGGGTGTTGGTTGCAGCAACAACAACGACGACAACAACCGCGACGACCACGACGACGATTACTGCTGCTGCAGCTGCTGCTGCTTCTGCTGCAGCTGCTGCTGCTTCTGCTGCAGCTGCTGCTGCTGCTGCTGCTACTACTGCTACTGCTACTACGACGACGACGGCCGCTACTACTCCTACTCCCCTACTACTACGACGACGACGACGACGACCGCAACTACAGTTGCAACTGCAGTTACAATTGCACATGCTACTGACTACTACTACTATGACGGCGACTCGACAGAAAAAGCACCACCATTACTACTGCTGTCGCTACAGTTACTCTCAGTTAGTATCATCTCTCTTGTTGTTACAGAGTGTCAGTGGCACTTGGGGTTGGCATCCTGTGACAGTGCAAACTCTTTGCGGTACAAGTACAAGGTGAGGGCTCAGCCACTTGGGGTTCAGGATGGCAGCTGAAGGAAGCGGAGGTAAGGGAACGTGTTTTTGGACAGCATTCGGCGTGGATGCAGGATCTCAGGTTCAAGAAGAAGCTTTCAGAGTGAAAGTTCGCAGCAGGGACCTTTTGGCGAAACCCTCTCCCAGCGTGACTGTGAAGCTCTTGCCAAGGAGTCGTCCGTTGCTGGCCGGACGTTTGGGCAGTGCCGGAGAGCCGCGGCTGCTTTTTTCTGGGGTGAGCGCTGAAGGGGGAGGTAGTTCTCTCGCAGGGCCACATTGTGGGTCTACGAGTCTTCTCGGCGTCAAAACTCGAAGACAGCAAGAACATTTCCTTACTTGGGGTCTATTTACAGCATCATTCAGGCTCTTTGCCCGTGTCGTCCAAGGTGTGGTTGCGGGTCGTCGCTCCGGGAGAGATGCAGGTCTGGTGGCAATCCGCGCTTCCCGGCTTGAGACGATTGCCACGGGCATGGATTGGGAGACTGTGTGCTAGCAGCGAGTCGGGAAACACGCTTCCAGGTAGATGCTATATTATTTCATCGCTTCCACCAGGATACGTTACTCGAGTCGTTGTTGGCTTTTCCGCCCTTTCCCGTCTTCAACGCATGGCGAGTAGAAGTGCTAGTACTCGTACTCGTACTAGTACGCTAGCACTAGCACTAAGGCACTAGCAGTACTAGTACTACCATCAGTACTAGCAGTACCACTACGTAGTACCACCACCACCACCACCACCACCACCAGCACCAGCACCACCGCCACCACCAGCACCACCGCCACCACTACGACTACGACGACGACTACTGCTGCTACTAGTGCAAGATTTATGCCTGGAACACGTCGGTAATATTGATTTCGGATATTGGCTGCTGTAGTGAAGCGGATCCAAAAACTATCCTATCGTCAAAAAGGAAGGAGTCCGAATCAAACTGTTGATTGCTCAAAACAAACCTTGTCGAGAAATTCGGGCTGTAAACCACATCCCAAATTTAAGTATACCATGTGTCCGCAGAGCTGCCAATCCAAGCACTGATGCAGGGCCATGGTTCCGCTGAACACCACCACCAGCACTAGCACTAGCACTAGCACTCCTCCTCCTCCTCCAACTACTACTACTACTACTACTACTACTACTACCACTACTACTACTACTACTACTACTACTACTACCACCACCACGACTAGGCTCAGTCAAGGCACCCCACCAAGAAAACGGTCTGTAGCTGCGTGCTGCATTGCTGAATTAGCTGAATTCCGTCAGCTAGCAAACACAGTGTTGACCCGGACCACCACCTCCGCATGCTAAGACCCATCCCAACAATAAGTGGGTGAGCCCAAGACGTCCGAGGCCCGGCGTGGAGCCCTTCACTTTTTCAGCCAGCAGGTTGCCTCTGCGAGCTAAGAAATCTTAAGCTGGCAGAAGCCGCGGTGTCGGGCCGGTGCGGGCTCTGCGTGTGGGCTGCAAATGAGGCTTCGTTTGTTCTCACGCAGGATTCCTCAACAGTACGACCGTCTCGACACCATCTCCTTCGTTGCTTGGCCTTCCGTACAGTTGCTCTTCGATTCGAGATGTCGGAGGCATAGTTCAAAGTGTCAAGTGTAACGACGAGCCCCTTCCGAAAATCGCTGATGCTTTCATGTACTGCCATATGACACTCAGACATATGCTACGTTGTCGCAGCCGGCTGCCGAAACGCCCATGCAAATGATTGGGCGATGGACGGAAGTCGAGCCACCGAGGTCATGATGCAGTGCTATCATGCCTTCGGAGATGGTTACTGCCGCTTGCCAAGAGCACTCCGGAGTGACAGTCCTTGACCCTGAACTTGCCACATCGTTTTCCATTTGACGCGAACAGAGCATATGCGAGACCACAGCGATGTGTGTTATAGAAGCATGCAAGGTGTGCACACGAGTCTTCGGCTCATTCAGTTACTCATTCTGGTTCTATCGAAGATTGTCTTGGGGAGGCTTGTCTCTGATTCGGCCCAGGGATACCAGATGCAAGACGAAGACCCTTTGTGCAGAACACCAATGTTTCGGGATCATAGCGTGAGCCCGAGCCGTAGAGAGTGCTTCGACACAAGACAGTTCGTACGATGTTTAGTCCTCCAGCACCTGCATGTATTTCCATCACACTGGACAGCTTCAATCTTCGGGTTTCAGACAAGCAGTATTTGATTTGGCGTGGTGTCCGGATGGGTTGGTCCAAGGTTATTCGCCGATTGCGTCGGACCTTTTCGATGCCTATGAGGCGAGACCGTAACTCTTCGTCCAGGGACCTAAGAAACCCCACGTGCCGTAGCGCGATCTGAGAAGGCCTGCAGAGCCCCTGAGACACGTGCGACTCAGCTGCAAGCAGCCGCATTGGCTGTGAAGTGGTTCGTTCAGTGCTCATTGTTAACGCCGAATCCTTCACCCGGAACATTGACATGGTCTTGACAAGAACTGTTGGGGCGAACGGACAAAAACTCTGAGACTTCTGTGTCCGCTCCTGTTGTCTGGCATTTCACCGGACATTGAAGGAGTCGATCAGCCTGGTCGTCTGAGTCAAGCGGCTGCTGCATGTTTCAGTTGCTAGCACTCTACAGCTCAGCGCAGCAAACTCCAACCTCGGGAGCTTGTGTCAGTGCTTGTATGGACAAGCTTAGGAGCTGCCACCAGCTCGTAACGAAGCTTTAGGTGCCCAGGCGGCATGACCATGGCTTGGGACTTGCTTGTGGTCCAGTGGTCTACTGCTGAGTTCAACACAGTGCTACGATTTTACTTGGCACCTAGTCCCAGTTTTCGAGGGAAAGCAATGCAGCAGCTCGAGTACTCGAGTCCATTTCGGGTTATACAAGAAGCCACCCGTGAAGGGGCTTAGTTTCTTGGGACATGCCGAGGCATTCTGCAACGTCGCCTGAAGGACACTGCGACACCTCACTCCTCACCTAGACAGTTTCCCCAACGCTGCCCTGAGAAACTCTTGCTCGTGGTTGCGGGCCCGGTTTAGCAATTCCGCAGATCAAGCTTATACATATACATGTATTCATTCATACATACATACATACATACATAAATACATACATACATACATACGTACATACATACATATATATATATGAGCCCGATACCTTTAGGGTCTATTTAAGCAGCTTTTGTTATATACAATATCAAAGACCTGGCTAAATACTTATACTAAGCCCAGTTGTTTTCCTTGGTGCGTGTACGTTCCCATCCTGTTCAGCCCTAACAGCAACTCTAAGTCCCAGGCCCCTTTGTAAGCCCGGGGGTCAACAACAACAACAGCAGCAACAGCAACAGCAACAGCAACAACCGCAGAAGCAAATGATGAATATAGTAAAGACGAGTACGAGAGGAGAAGGTTCGAAAATTGACAGGTTAATCTTGTTTGGGGGTGGATGGGGAGGTAGGTCAAAGATATCAAAGGAAGGGGACGGGGTATGAGAATCTTCAATCGCAAGCAGTGGTCCCCTCCTCCTGTTTGGTGTTCATGCTCTTGAAACCGTCAATCGCAGAGAATATGGGTTTACAAAAAAAGCTTATGTTTTTTGTGTTTCCGGAGGACGCGGGTTTACAATAAAAACTTGCGTTTCTGTATGTGAAGAAGAACAGCGGTTTGCAAAAAACCTTACAGTTTTGTTGTTGGAAGACGAAAAGGGTTTGCAAAAAACCTTGCGTTTTTGTTGTTGCAGGGAGACAATGTTTTACACAACACCTCGTATGTTTAATGTCGGAGCTTGTGCCCACCGATTGTGGCAAATTTGGCTGCGATTGACTTGTTCGCGGTTATAGCGTTAAAGTTTAATTAGGAACAGCCATTCGCAGCAAATCTTGCCAACCGATTCTTGGGCAAAAATTTGCTGTGATTGACTTGTTGGTGGCTATATACTATATATAAATCAGGGAGCAGCCAATAGCAGGAAATTTTGCCAACCGGTTGCTAATAGCAAATTGATGCGACTAATTTCACCTCAAAGGTTAATTATTTGGGGTCCCAAATAATCCAAATACTTAAACCAACCCTCGAATGGGTCCTCTTCCAAAGGTTTCCCCATAATCGAAATATTCAAGTCAGGTGCTGATTTCCCAATTTCGATTACTTTCGAAATTTGGTGGGTCACAGAGTCGGAATAATAGAACAAGCAATTGAATCGGGTGGTGATTTAATCATTTCGACTATTTTGATTAATTCGCTTATTTCAATTCCCGGGGATCTGCCTGAGGGGCTACAAGAGGTGTCATTTAATTAGTTCGATTATTTTAATTCTTTGGGGCACCAAAAAATCGAAACGATCGAAATAATTAGATCAACGCTCGTGTGGGTCCTCTACCAGAGGTGTCTCCACCATTTCAATAATCAACATAATCGAAATAATTAAATCAGGGGCTGGTTTAATTATTCCGAGTATTTTCGAAATTTCGGAAGCCAAAGAGTCGAAATAATAGAAGTATTTAAAATGGTAGGTAGTTTAATTATTTCGATTATTTCGAGTATTTCGATTACTTAAATCCTCGAGGACCTGGCCCCAAGATAATCGAAATAATTAAATCAACCCTCCGGTGGGTCCGCTTCCAGAATGTTCGAAATAAGCAAATCAGGTGCTGATGTAATTATTTCGATGTATTTTCGAAAATTGGAGGGCCAAAGAATCTAACTACTAGAAATACTTAAATCCCGCGGTCATTGCATTCTTTCGGGTATTTCGATTTTTTAAATCCTCGAGGATCTGCCTCGGGGGCTCAAGAGGGGTGACGTAATTACTTACATAGTCCCAATACCCGAAATGATTTAACCCTCCCCCGGGTGGGTCCACTTCCACAGGCTTCCCCACCATTTAAATAATCGAAACAATTAAGTCAGGTGCTGATTTCATTATGTCGATTACTTTCGAAATTTGGAGGGCCAAAGAGTCGAAATAATAGAAACAGTTGAATCGGGTGGTGATTTAATAATTTCGATTACTTTGATTTTTCACTTGTTTCAATTCCCGGGGATCTGCCTTAGGGGCTACAAGAGGTGTGATTTATTTTTCTGTTATTTGTATTATTTGGGGACCCAAATAATTGAGGACAAATATTTTGGACACGACAAAATCCAATGAGGCGACGATTGCACATACTTGCGAATATTTGCACATCATGTATCTGAACTTGAGCAGGCAAGTGTAGCCCGAAGTTTTTGCTGATGCTGCTCAAACGTTCCTGTTGCTTTTTGGAAGCTTGGAAACCTACTACAGCGCCGACCTGCTTTGTAGACTGAAACCAAAGGCGCACCAACTGCTGGAGATCGCTCGCCAGAGTGACCAGAGTGTGAACCCTGCGGCCGGTTGGACTTACTGAGATGAAAGCTTTGTCCATACGTTGGCCTTGCTGGCGAATCGTCGCGGAGGAAAATTTTCGGTCACCGTTTAAATGGATCTCGTGTGGGTCCTCTTCCAGAGGTTTCCCCACCATTTACATAATCGAAATAAGCAAGTCAGGTGCTGATTTAACTATTCGATGTATTTTCGAAATTTGGAGGGCCAAAGAATCGAAATACTAGAAATACGTAACAAAAAGAAGCGAAATAATTGAATCGGGGCGTGATTTAACTATGTTTGATCTGATTATTTCGATTATTTCAATTCCCGGGGATCTGCCTTAGGGGCTGCAAGAGGTGTGATTTATTTTTTGCGATTACTTTAATTCTTTGGGGCACGAAAAATCGAAACGATCGAAATAATTGGATGAACGCTCGTGTGGGTCCTCTACCAGAGGTGTCCCCACCATTTCAAGAATCAACATAATCGAAATAATTAAATCAGGGGCTGGTTTAATTATTCCGAGTATTTTCGAAATTTCGGAAGCCAAAGAGTCGAAATTATAGAAAGGACTAAATCGCAGGTTAGTCTATTTTCGAGTATTTAATTCTATTAATTGTTTCAGTTGTTTGGGTTATATGGTGAAATGTTAATTTAAACAGGGCGTCAAACAGACTCTATGAGGGCCTCTGTCCCATATACATATATATATATATCTACATATGTATGTGTATATATATATATGTATATAGATCTGTGAGATAGATAGATATTTATTTAGGTAGGTAGATAGATAGATACCTTGAGCCGCACCTCTGGCATGTCCATTTCAAGTGGAGTCCAGATAGCTGAAATGGAACGCGGCATCTGAATGTGAGCGGGGCGTCATAGTCCCAGGGGCTTCCCGAATGCAGAGCATCGACAAGAACAGAGTCCATGAACAGTTTCGAAGATCTGCCATGGGCATCTTAATCGTTTTGCTAACACAGATTCTATTGCTGCAGGTTTACATCCCAGGTACCTTTCATTGCCGGCAGGAGACTTTGTCCTTCCAGTCGGAAGACCCCTCGCGCCACTCGCTCCGTGGAGCTTTGCAGCTCTGGCAAAGCTTTCATCTTAAGGGTCTGAATACTCTAATAATCGTGGTTGCGGATGTTGTACCATATCATATTAGGTTGTTGGGGTAATTTTGACCAGCGGCGTCAGACAGGCTTGACTTGAAGTCTGGCTTCTTGGGAAGCAGGCGGTAAGAGGTACCACCCCCCCGCCTACCATCAAAGAACATGTCTGGCTCCTTGGAACCTTGCAGAGCTTAGCATCGATTGGCGTCCGGTGGTCATTGCGAGCATGGTATGCCTACACGAGGGACCGTGGCTGCTTTTGCTATTTTCAAATCCCTCTGGCAGCTGTTGCCGGAATGCGACAAAGCATCGCGAGCCCCAAATTCAAACTCGCAATCTGATCAGTCAAATCTTGAGTTCCCGAGTTGAAGTCGTAATGGTATGGAAGATCAGTTTGCGATACCTCTTGCACAAGTTTTTCTTCCAGTCTCAGGTGGGGTGCATGCTTCAACGGCTACTCCAGCGACGTAACTGTGGAAGGACAGCTTCGCGGGGCTCAGCTGCTTAGAGCTAAGCTCAGCTCCAACACTCAAGAGATGGAGCATTCGAAGTATCTGCCCGACCCGTGAAAAGCGGAAGCCTCGCCTCGGCGAGGAGAGACGCTGGGAGTCTTTAAGGCGCCCCGGAGGGGAGTAGGGGCCGCAAGAACGGGGTGTTACTCGGGTTTGAGGTTTATATTAGAAAGACGACGCAAGGGATGGAGCTGTAGGACCCCCGTGACAACAACCCCCGACGTCCGCGAGGCGGTGGCAGAGAGGTATGCCCTGCCCATGCGTCTCGGCGGCACTGAAGGATTTCGGGGCGAATTTGTATAAGTGTTCACAAGGATTACAAGGATTCTCAAACGTGTTTGGGGCCCCTGAGGTTATTCCTGCACCCATGGACTTTCGGAAGTCTCTGCAAGGCTAGAATTTTCGATAGTTTCCGCTGGGTTTAGCGTGCGGCTGAGCTCAGTACAAATCAACAGGACCTACATATTATATCCCGGAAAGCAGCCTGCAGCTGAAATTCCTACTCAAAACCCGGAGCAGTATGATTCCTAGCGCTAGTTTGCAACGGAATGTGAAGTTTGCCAGCTGGGAAATGAGCGCAAACCTAGCCCATACGCCGCCCCACATCTCAAGGATGTCGCCGAAGTAGCCCAGCTGCCCATACCCACTTGGCGAACAGATGAGCTCTAGGATGCGCTACGATGGCGGGACTAGAGAAAGTGCCGTTCGTGCATTCCAGAAAGCTGTTTAGTGGGAGCGCTTTCATTTCTCCAACCAACGTTGCACCCCACATTTCCCCAGACCTGCCCTGCGCCTTTGCGCTCGAACCTCTTCGTCTACCTCGTGTAGATGTGTGGTGGGCATGGCATGCGGTATGGAAGAAGTCAAACTGGCGACGATCCACTTCGACGCCCGTCGGCGACTTCCAAGCGACGTCCAAAGCCAGGTGGGGATTCGTCTCCTTTTTGTTTGCAAGGGTTTCCCTCCGGCCTCAAACTGGGGGCAGGAGGGCCGAAGAAGTTCGGAAGTTGCATTGAGAATGTTTCAGAATCTGTGCAGGAGCCCCTAGAACAGTATCCCCTTCTAGTACAACCCTTCTACAGTTTTACTACACTATACCCCAAGGTACCCTATTCGAGCTACTCCCTGGTGCCGGCAGGAAATGGCATCCTTCACAATGGACATCGCAGACAAGCTGGGGACCTTCTGTTTATAGAGGGGCCAATACTATCCGGCACTTTCAAAGGAGTGCCATTGAGAGGCATCTATCTACCACGGGCTGGGTCTTAAGATCCTTGCTAGTTTGGAAATTGTTTTGCAATAGTTACGTGGTGAGAAACAGCCTGCGCTTCATGCAGCGGGACCTCGCAAGCCTTTTTGGCGAAAGTTAAGCAACACGAAGGTGAGTTCCAGCTTCGCCAGATAGGCTTTCAGTGTTCCAGTGAGTTCGGCAGCTGCACAACAAACGGAAGTCCGAGTAGCAAACCACTAAGCTTTGCTTCGCAATAAGAGCACCATCACGCTATGCATCACAGCTGCAGGACAGGAGCATGCTCTGTCGTCTATGGGCTTCGCCTTGTGGACGCGGATTCTGGCGACACAGAGCAGTCCCGGCCCCTAGCCGCTGCTTGCCTGCATTCCCGCTTGATGATAAGGGTTCAATCCAATGCAACCCTCTACTTTCTTCGGAGCCTTCCTCCGAGATGTTCGAGAAAAATCTCTCAACACTATTTTCAAAGGCGAAAATCGTTAATTTAGATAGTTTCGGGAGCTAAAGGCACGACGATTCTTCGACATGGATATTTTGGGCACTGCTTCATGCATATATAGCAGCGTCAAACTGCATCTCCTCCTTTCGCCACAGATCGCCCAATCTCAGAACCTTCCCCAGCAAAACCAAGGCCTTGTCTTAAGCTTTGGCAACAGGCGAAGTTCCTCGTTCACCGGGATGGCTGCAGGGATCGCCACGAGCTGCCTCGAGAGGCGGCAACCCAAACCCCCAAACAAACCCTTGAAGAAACTTCCCCTGAGGGCATGTAGTATTCAGTATGATTTCTCCATCGTCCTTGCAGTAACTACGACAGTTTCCCCTAAAATCCATGACTTCTAGCATCTGGCTTTATTAAGGGATCTGGGGCTCTCTGGGAGGCACCCTTTCCAACCCGAATGCCATCTGCTGCAGGGGTCAAACCAGGAGGCAAGCACACGGGACAACCTGGGGACCCCGACTTAAACAAGGAGCCTCAGAAAGACGCAGAGGTGTTTACAGGAGCCTTGACGGAAGGCCACCGCTCAGCCTGAAAGTCCAACAAAATGAAGGCGAAGATGCTCATGCTGGCTTCTGGCAACCGGTACATCCTCAAAAGCTTCGGTCTCTTCGAGGTGGGGCAGATTTCAGAGGAGAGGCGGCTCTTGACAAGCGTTTCGGGCAGGGTTGCCGACCTGGTCGCTAACATGTTGGGGTTGTGGGGTCTGGGCCATGCAAGCTCGCTGAGCCCTTCGAAGCCAGGTGGATCTGGATGCGCAACCCAAACTTCGCGGCTTTTTTGCAATGACCTCCAGCCACAAGGCACCAAAGACTGCAACTGAGTTGCATCCACTGGTCAAACTGATCATCACGCTGACTGGAAGCCACCATACCTCACGAAGAGCTGCCGACATAGCTTCCCCAAAGCAACCCCAAAACCTAAAGACCGTAAACTCCTTCAGCCGAAAAGCTGAGGCAATCGTAGAGACGCCCCCGGGCCGGGGGTTTTTCCTCCTCGAGGCCGGGTCCATTTCCTTGGGGCTTCTGTGTCCTTCCCTACATCCCCGCTTTTTCTTCTGGAGCGACACGTCCCTCACGGTCAAATGGCGTGCCAAGGATGGCACATCCGCGTCCTCCCCCCTTAACTTCTTTCACCCAGTCGAGGTCAACACAAAGCTGCTTAAGCAGCCCACCATTGTAATCTGTTTCACCAACACATGAGACGGGGGAATAGAGTGTTGAAACGCCGTGTTGTCAAGCGATTTCAGTAACAACTTCTGAGAGACATCGAGACATCACGCGACCTCCAGCATCACGATCAGAACGCGTTCCTTCGACGTGACAGCAGCGGAAAGGTGAAATATGTTAAACCCCTCCCCTGTTACATATCGAAAAATCAGCAGATGTCGGACAGGCAAATATGCGACGGCGTCACCAAGAGAAAGGGAGACGAGCGCTGGAGCAGATCGACCCTTCACAGAATACTACACTCGCTACGCATCATATGAACCGGTCGATGATCCCACACGGCAGCACACAGAACAAACCGTTGGGAGATCACGGTGGCACTTTCCGGACATGGGAGGTTGTCTCCGACCAAACGCAACAATCTGGAAGCATTCTGGACCCCGAAGCTTCCCGCTCAAGCTTCAGCGCACAGGAACTTTGCTGCTGCACGCTCCACGACTTGGTGGAGCACGTTTCTTTCAAGGAGACCGGCACGCGTCTGTCATCAGGAAGACTGGGGAACTTTGCAAGCAGAACATAGCACAGCCAACAGATCGAACATGATCGGACCTTGAGCACTTTGAAAGGGTACCGTGCTAAGGTTGTCAGGCTTCCGGCTTTGGGACTTCGCTCTGTCGCAAGAGCCGCAGGCCTGAAACAAGCGTCCCAGATTAGCACAGCATCACCTCCCCGGACAGGTTCACGATCCTTCAGCTACGGGATACTCCTTCAACTTAATGGGGCACGATTTACGGGCATTGGCGGTATTGGACTCTCTGGGTCTATCGCATCGTCGAGCGAAAGAAGCGCAGGAGTCAGAAGCTGCATTTGCTCTGCACTCCGTGCTTTGCGGGCTCATGCATCTCCATGCCCTTGGCAACTGGGCGTTAAGCGATGCGAAAAGAGGACTTTGGTCACTGTAGGGTTTCTATCAGGGTCCTATAAGGTTCCAAAAGGATGCCGACAAGAAGTTCTACAGGTGGCAGGCGATCAGGCCCAGTCCCGAGTTCAGGATCTAGATGGGAATTTGATTATGAGATCCTCAGGCTCCTGCTTTGCAGCATCGTTATCGAGAGCAAACGCCTGCGACCAAACGCCTGCGACCCTGACTCCAACATGAAACGGCATAAGGGACAAGACCCATGCATGCTGCATGTGACAGGGCTCTTTCTTCGCGACCGGGATCCATCCTTGATCCCGAGCCCGTCCGGCTTGAGAACGGCTAGCAGTCATATGGAGGTCTTCGTCCAAAGTCTGAGGTCTCTAGCTGTTCTCTCACGGCCAAGCTTGGTCCAGATTGTTGGCTCTAATTTTCTTGAATCCCTTGGAGCCAGGCATCGTGCATCGCGACATCAAGACCGCCAACATCATGGCTACTTTGCTTTCCCTCGTGCCCCCAACCAAAGCTAGAAAAGGGGCCTCCTCGGTGTTGTCTGTTGCCCAACCAGAGGTTCGTAGATCGGGATCTGCAAGTAGCTTTAAGCACGAAGTCTCCATGACTGTTGCCCTTCCACCTTGTTCTGTGGAGGGTGAGGCTGTGTTGGGTCGGAGAGGGCACACCAAGGGTTGAACACGTAGCGAGGAAGCTCCAAGTAATCCTGTGGTTGTTCGGAAAACAAACTTATGCCTCGTATACGACCCTCCAAAAACAGGAGATGGGTTCTCCAGGTAAGGTAATCAGACATGCCAAGAGGTTTCCGACGGCGGACTCCGTGTGATCTTGGGCGACTTCGACCTTGTCTCCCACATGCAAGTCCGGGTGTTGGGGTTTGTAAACTCTAGCTTGGGACATTTGTGTTCGGCTCTACACGGGCTTTCTGATGGAAAGATGAATTTCAGACGCGGTCCCTGGATTTCATGCTGTGAGGTTCCTGTGTCATGTGGATAGAGGAGATGGGGTTGCATGTCGCCCTGGCTCTAGATTCTCCGACATAGTTGGTACAAAATATTAGTACGTTATACGCAAGCCTGGGACTACCAAAGCCCCAGTCAGGTTGATCATAATGATTGTAAAGCTTATTATAAAGCCTTGTACTTACTCAAATTGCTGCGTCCCCCCATCCTCCCAGCATGCCTCAACCCCGACGATATTTTGAGTCCAGAGTCCTGAACAAAACGGAGTGCTTGTTGTCCGGTGCGTTCGGTGCTAACAGAAGCTCTCTTCCGACATGATTTTGCGCGTGGACAAGCACGTAGTTAACTGGGGTTCCTGAGTTAAAAGCTACAAAACACCCCAAGACCGTATTCTAACAATTAAGGCTCCTCACACGTAGGCTCCAGGGTTGAGTGATAGAGTTGATTGCATCCGAGGCTGCATGTCTGCCTGATGGAAGCGCCGAGATGGCCTGGAACTGTGGGACTGCAGGTGCCTTTGCTTCAGCCATGTACAGCACCTCTTGAGGTGATCTGAGAGCCGAAGCCGACTCTCCGAGGATACCTGGCACCAGAAGTTTATGGCAGCCACAAAGGCAGCAAGGCCACAGAGCCCCGGCCGAGTGAAAATCTCTGAGGTTTTCGAAGAGTCGTAAAGTTTGTGCTTTTCACACTCCCCGAACTCCCCGACAACGTGCAGCCCAATGTGCCGAGGATCTTTTTGCATTGGGAGTGGTGCTCTACATCCTGCTGACAAAGAGCACCTTGTTCCAGATCATGAGGGCACCCGCATGTAGATGATTGCAGCAAGCACTTCGAACCTCATCATGAACCCCTTTCCCTTTGGGCCCTGACGGCGATTTCGCGCAACTGGAGCCAACGTTCTGGAAGCAGTGCTCGGGGTCGTTGCGGCTTCCGTCTGAGACGTTTCGGAACGTTGCGGAAGCCTTGTGTCCACCAAGGCCACATGAGGTCCCGTGATTTAGTCGTGTGTGGTTTGTAGAAGCGCGGACCCTGCACGTGTTGTCTGTCCTGCATGGACAAATTGACTGCCCATATCACCGTTTGTGGCCGGAAAGCTCATGGCCGTCTACCGGAGGCCAGCCTTTTCTTCACGAGACGCCGCTTCTTACCGAGCTTGCCACCAGAGATGGAAGGCTTTTGGATGTCGGAAGTTTGGCCGGGTTGGGGTTCTCGCTTGATAGATTTTCGGCCGGAGTTCTGTTCTGGCCTGATTCATGCTGTTGTTTCTCTGAGGTCGATGTCGCTGGCTCAGTGCTTCGCGCAGTTAGGATGCATACACTCGCGCACGTAAGCCAACTTTGCTTGTGCGTGCAGCCTTTTGTAAGTCCACTTCACTGCAGAGGCTTTCAATCGAACCGGAGACGCTGCAGATGCTGGGCCGGATTGGCAGACGAAACGTAGAAGACTCTGAGGGACAGAGGGGAAGCATGCCTATAAACGCCCTGAAGCTGAGCTTCGAAATGCTTCGAACCTCAGAGTTGAGTTTGGTGCGATCTGAAGAGGAGGCCTTAATGCCAGGAGGCCATGCTGCCTACCCATAGAGCTGCAGTGGACACTACAGGCATGGAGGTATCACTTCTGGTGCTAGCTACACGAGAGCCTAACCGAGCCGGCATCAGTCCATACTGATTTGAAGCCTGCAACCCCTGCAAAGGATGTTTCGCAGCCACGAAGCCTGCGATCTGTTGCTTCCCGGCTGCTCGAAGGTCCCGTTTGGGAGCTTATTCCAGATGGTTGCTAGAAATTCAGGCTTCTGTATTTAATCCGTCCTGACCCCGAAGCCAAGCAACGTTGCACGTCTGCAACCTAGCACTCGGATGCACTCGTGAGGGTCTCTGCAGGCACTTCAGAAGTGAGGTTCTCAGGGCTTTTCTGTTGAGCGACCGTGAAGCTTGGAAGGACTTGCGGATTTCGGGCGGTTCCCGCCATGCCAGAATTGGTGTAGATCCATGAGGTTTGCGGTGCTTTCGATCCTCATGTCATGTACAGAGTCTTTGCCAAGCAATCGAGGTCTCCAGATCTCAAACGCCAAAACTGATCGCATCTGTCAAGCGATGCTTAGGTAACGTCACGGGCACTTTTGCTATCCGATCAAGGTCTGGGGAGCAGCATTCCCAAACAAGAAGGGACGCTCCAGGCTCTGCCCACAAAAAGCTTCTGGCCTGGCAAACGAAGCATGTGATTTCGGGAAGTCTCGCCAGGGCCAGCCCAGACCTAAGCTCAAGAACGAAGCTTCAAATGCCTTACACTCGACACTGAACCCTCACAGGCCTCAAACAATAAACCCTCAGAGGCTGTGGCTGTTGGAGCCTCGACCCGAACACCGCCCCGAAGCCTTGGAAGCCCTCGAGAGCGCGCCTGGGCAGAGAGTGCTGCCTTTGATTTGCTTTTGCCTTTCAGTTTTTTTTTTTAATCTTCGGGTTCGGTGCTCTGTCGGGTGTGTGTCGATGCTGTCGCGGTTGGGCACTCTTTGTGTCTGTGATTGCCATGCATACACATGTGCACCATTAGGGTGTTTGCTTGCTTCTTTGTTGTTGTGCGAGGTGATCGCGCATCGAACCAGGGTATCAGACAAACGGGCTGATGAGTTCAGGGCTTGAATCTCTTTGCTGCACCGCACTAGTTGCTAAGTTCTTTGTTTTCTGCATCGAGCGGTTCCAGACTAGTCAGCGAACTGGTATGTCTCGGTGTTCTGAATCGCAGTATTTGGGCATGCACTCTTAGTCTTGTTGCAGACGGCATCCGAATCAAGGGCAGATACTGAACATACTGATTTAGACAGCTTGCCATGTCGGTTTCTGCAGTGCTTCAGGTTCTGTTCGTAAGATTACAGACCGGTTTCCCACTCGGTCGGGAGGCCCTTCAACCTCGAAGTCTGAAGGATTACATACGCTGCAAAACTCCCGAATTTGGAAACAGCTTGCGTGTATCCGAATCAAGATTATCCGAGGAATGGCTGTGCATCAGGGAGCCCGAATCTTGGCTTCAGCCTGGTTCTGCAACTTTGCCGGGCCTTCCCGCTAAGACAACAAGGGTCCCACAGTGACTTGAAAGGAGTGCACGACCCGCTTTCCCAGTTGGAGTTCAGCTCTTGTGCCTTCAGCTGTTCCTGTTCGGAATGACGTGGGCTTAGGAGGCGGAGGAACTAAACCCTAAAGCTGAAGAACAGCGAGGGCTCAGCCAAGCAACATAGGACTTGTTTAAGTGGAGAAGGGGTTGCGGTTACATCATATCATGAAAATTAAATCTTTATAGTGGATATACGGACATATCTGTAATTTTGCTTGCCTTTGGTGTCCCTCTATAGTTACGGTATACCCCTGCTTGAAATATCAAGGCCCCCATATAAGCCCAAAGTCCTGAAACAGGAGAGTGAAGGTGTCCGGGCGCTTGTGCGGCAGTCGCTCGCCGCAAAGTGTAGCCTAGGAGAGTGGCGAGGTTGAGGGGTTGAGAGGTTTGATTGGGCTTCTAGTGATTCGAATGTTTCTCTTGTCCGGTCCGTGTGTGCGAGAGAGACAAATAAAGCCCCTGTTTGGGGGAGGGCCTTGGGGCACCCAGCACGCCGACACGCAACTTTCCTCAAACAACCCCTGTTCGGCCAAACGATTCGACAGTTAGGGCAGCTGGGCTTTACTAAACCTCAGAAGAAGGCATCCTTAAATACCTTAGACCCTTGAACTCCCGTTGCCTAAGATTCTCAGACCAGTAGACCTGCCCCAACTTCTGGTGATTCTGCTGGTTCCTTAAGCCTGCCGGTTTCTGGTTTCAAGAACGACGTTTCGTCCCATGATGGCCTACGTGATTTACCTACTTTTAGCTATTCAAACGCTCCTGCTTGAAATTCTGCATTGGGGTTGTTAATGCCCTGCAAAGCGGTATAGGTGATGGTGGGAGGCAGCGATATGAGGGTTACAGTTAGTCTGACTTGAGACATCTGCGGCTAAACGTCATTCTACATCCCAGACACTGAGCCCACCAAACCCTAAACAACTGCCAAAATTCTGAGCTCAAACGCCAAGTCCTATATCAAACCAGCAGTAACTACACCCTGTCAACCCCGAACCTTGTAAACCCAACGTCCAAAACCCGTTACACCCAATAGACTTCGCTGCTGTGGACCCTAAACCCTGAGCAAGAATCCGGATAGAGCCGTGAGAGGTGGTCGCGCACGGACAGCCTCGAACAGAACTTGGCGACTTCAGAAACCAAGAATCCGGATGCACGCAACACTCACAGTGTGGCCTCTTGCCCGTGGAAAGGGAGCTTTTTTTGGGGTGGTTTTGTAAGTGCCTCGGATGACTTCTAGATTTTGGCTGAGACTGTTCGGCCTGTACTGGAGTGTGGAGGTGAAGCTATCCATGCTTGGGGTGTCCTCAAGTCCTCGGCATTTCGACGCTTGGGACCGCTCGTTCATAGCTCGTTACTTGCTGTCGTGTGCGAGGCACACAGCAGTATCAAAGAGCAGCTGCGCCGAACTTTTACAAGCCCCTCATCCTTTTTGACGCGTTCTTCAAAGAAGCAGGCCGGGTCTCGGATCTTATGCGTGGAGGAGCTGCTTTGTCGAGAAAATCGACGATTTTCTCGTTTCCCAGATTGCAGTCGGAGTTCACACATGCAGTCCTTCAGGCGACAGCTGTAAAATTTCAGCTAGGACTCTGCTGAAGGCCTAACCTTAATCCTACCCCGTAAGCCCGGAGACGCTAAACCACCTTTAAGTCTTAAACGAAGCTGCGGCGTTTCAGGCACGAAAAGAGCGAGACTCCAGGATCTTCCGAACGACCTTTGCCAGCTCTGCGCGCTCGGCTTCTAGGCAAACAGCAAAAACCGAATGTAAGAGAGGTTGAGGGCGGTTCAACGCAAGCTACAATAGTCGAGAGTAGGTACAAGAGTACTAAGTCACATGTTTTTCTTATACATGCAACTTATCTTAGCTTCCTTACAACCATCGTCACGAGCTTTTACAAGCCATAAATCCTTACACTGCGTTCTGTCATAAGAACCCAGGCTTTGGGTTCTGCAGCCGTGGCCATGGGATGGCGGAAGAGGATCAAGGCGCTTCTGGGGACCTTTGGGGTTTGCAGCAGTCGCTAGCGATACGTGTATGTATTCCGGTAAGTGTTAGACATCATCACAATAATCTCAGAGTAAGCCATACAAAAAACCAGAATTTGGCTGGTATGCAATATGAACAGCCATAGCCAATGTACTGCCCTGAGACTCGTTGTCTGCGTAGCGGATGCGCTGCAAAGGACGCTTCTGTACACTTAATCGAGAGGTCTGAACAGTTGGCAGGTCCCTAAACTAAACTGTGCATACCCCATTCGAATTCTGCAGGCCCCTGACGTTTCGTGGCGCAGAAACCGATTGAGGTGTTCATCCTCCAGTCGTAGAGGGTTAACTTGTAGCCAGCTAGCTGCACGGCCTTTCGTATGGGAGCCTCCCAGTAATGCAGGGGTCTGGCCAGCTTAAATAATTAGTACACGAAATGACTTACAGTCCCTATAATTTTTTCTGAGGTGAATTATGCCAGCGTAGATCCCCAAACCGTGAAAGACCCAGAACGGACTTGACAATGACACTTAGAGCGCGAGGCCGCGAGGTGAGGGCGCAAGGCCACCAGGAGACTCCCCGAAGACCCCAGGACACAGCCAGGAAACAACCAGGACACTGCTGCAATGCTTTCCGCCAAGTACTCGCAGATCCCGGACCGGAGCGAAACTGTTTTCCCCAAGTACCGGCACGTTTCGGGACTGGCAGGATCCCGAGAAACACCCGGAATCGGTTCCGCCAGTACTGCCGCCAGAGCCAACAGTGGCCGATGTAGAATCATTTGCCATGAGTCCTGACAGTCGCAGTATTTGGCTTTTTGGTAATAGTATTGGTATGACTATCTATCAATTCCATCATTCATTAGCATGATCGCTACTGCTACGACGGTTACTCTTACTCTTTTTTCTGTTACAGTTAATTTCCTGTTCCCTATTCTCTAGTATGGATATTGCTGCTGCAAAACCGCTGCTGCTGCTGCTGCTACTACTACTACTACTACTACTACTTCTTCTACTACTTCTACTACTACTCCTACTACTACTCCTACTCCTACTCCTACTCCTACTCCTACTACTACTACTACTACGACGACGACTACTACTACGACTACTACTACGACTACCACTGCTGCTGCTGCTGCTGCTGCTACCACTTCTATCTTAACGGTTACAATCGCTACTGCTACTGCAAGATCTGGTACATATGCTGGTATTGGCACCGTATGATTGTGATTATAATTGCTCTTTCCATGATTATTATGATGGTGGTAAAGATTAAGGTCCCGACATTGGCCGACCGCTCGATGCTGAGGCACCCAAACCAAGAATCTGACTCATCCAAGCAAAACAAACAGCTCAGCAGTCCTTGAACCATTCTTGCCACAAAGGTCAAGCCTGTCGAAGAAGCAGATGAGCGGCCGTTCTGCATCCCAGAGAAGTTGTCAGGCTTGATAACCCAGAGTTCTCACTGCTACTGATACGACAAGGGCTGCATGCTTCAACAGTGGCAGCGGCAAGATTTGTTTCCTGCTCTCAGGTCCGAAAGTCTGAGCATCGACGGTTGATTCAAAACCCGAATGCCATGCATCCTTTCCATGTTGGCGCCTCTTTGCACATTGCCTGCCCCAGGTTTGACAGCGTCTTCATTCCGTGAACCCGACAGGGAGGTGGAGGTGAGTGGGGACAGTAGGCATGAGGGCGATTCTGAGGGAGCAGGGCTTCCGGCGCGAGTAACATACGAGTCCAGGAGGTTGGCCAGGATGTCCCACTATCGCATTGACAGTCAAGAGAGAATCCACTGGACTCAAACGCCTCAATCTCTAACATACAGTTCATGGCCCGAATGTAGCGACCACACCCCTTTGGTATGCATGCAGACTGAGTTTTACAAACTACAGGCATACAGGTCTCCACGATTTAGAGCTGCATTCAAGAACTTAGAGCTGCAGCTGTTAAAATGCTACCATTTCAGTCGTTAACACACCTGGCTCCAACACTGCAGGGGCGAGCGTAGCAGGGGAGCAGCTAAGCCGGCTGGTAAGTCGGCAGCTGTGGCAATGCAGTGCTCATCCTGGCCAAGCCTGGATGGTTCCGAGGAGCCGTCAGTGTTTATAGACAGGGCCTGGAACGGCGAAACTTAAATCTGTGTACATGTAGTATGCATATCCTTGGGTTCGGAATCTCAAGAGAGGTGAAGAAGCTGCATCGTTGCCCACGCACCCTCCTTGAGCATAGTGCCCGATAATCTGCACGCCTTGTATACAGATTCAGATGTCATGATGATGGCGGTTAATTATGCTACATTGCAAGGTTTACGTCTGACTCACTCACCCTATAGCAAGCCATGAACGCCTGTGCGCTTCAGAACCTGTTGATTGTTTTGGCCAAAGAAGCAGATTTCAGTTCATATGCGTGGTCATATAGTGCACGTCTGCTCACTCTTCAAATTAGGGAAGACTTGCAGTCTATGCAACAACTGTAAGGCTGCAGCCCACGTTTAGGTGGATTTAGGTGGTCGAGCTTTGCGTTTCTTCGGGCCCTGCGACTATTATTTGTCAAAGCTTTGCTGTGCTCATTTACTGTCGATGGAAAGTGGGTTTCCGGGTTACGGGATCGCATGTGCCTCAGACAAAGGCATAAGACGAAGAGGACGCCGAGTTCGGTTGAGTCCTACGCAGTATCCTTTGAGACCTTTGTGAAGGGCTGCCACATCTTCCTAAAGCTCAGGCTCATGTGTTACGCTTCCCTGTGAGCCTGAAGCTGTGTCTACCAGAGGTATCTATCTTGATGAAGGTTTGGCGCAGATGCTAGAGCTTCTGTCGGAGGGTTGCCTTCCAGCTTGATGCCTCAAGTGCTGGTCTTGATGTGTTGGAGTTTGCCCACCACTGTTCGTTTCAGCTTGTCTTCATAAAGATCTCACTCTCACTCGTGGAGTTAAGGTTGAAGGTGGAATGGAAAGGGGGTCGCAATGAGATCCCACCGTGTTGTTCATTGCCTGTGTTTAATTGCAGACAGCTTGCATGATTTGCTGCCAAACTGCCTGCGATAGTTCTTGAGGGCGTCCGGGGCACAACTTTGCCGGCCTGCGGCGACTCCGAGCAGCCAAGACTCACAAGCCTAAAGACCACGCGTCGAACAGCCCAGCCATCTTCATCGTGAAGTTGGAGCCGTTAACGTCGAACTTGAGCTGGCGCATCGACCGCAGGCCAGCACTTGCCCCCCCCCCCCCCCGGCCCAAGATTTCGCGCTGTGCCTTCCTTGGCCGGTTGCTTGACTGGGCAGAAAAGAGACCTCCATTGACCTGCGCCGGTTCAGTTCTGAATGGATGCATGCGCAACTATCACTACTACTGCCACCACCAC